TATTTAAAACAAAATATTCCCCAATAAAATGTATTTTAATAGTGTAGTCTTTAGATTATATCGTTATAAGTACAAAAACTTTTTTTCGATATATATCCTCCATAGTTTCAGTTCATTGCTAGATAATGGTTTTATCAGTTGTTTATACAGATTTGTATTTGTACAGATTAGAATTGTAATCCATAATTATCGGTATAAGTTGATTTCTGTTGAGCTTCTCGAGTATCGAAAATAATTAATAATTATGATATGGAACTAGCGTAATCATGCAGACTAAATGTCACGAATAGGAGTTCGCGAATTCGAGTTCGATCGGTTTCCTATATCTTACAGTATTTTCAGGTTCTTAAAAGACTGCATTTGATAGTGATTAAGTAAAACCAGTAGTCCGTAGACGACGGACGCGTCTGTATGTCTGTCCATCTGATCACATGTTCATATAATCTGAAGCGTTCGCTATTACACGCGCGATTCATGGATAAGCGTCCATCTAAAAGTAGTATATGATTGGCCAGCTTACAATTTTTATATCTCGAAAACTACTGCTTAAAATAAGCTTCATACTTAATTTTTCAAGAATTTTCTTGCTATAGTATTATGAATCGCGAATGTTGAGACAATGTCGAGAAATGCCTGTATATAGAGAGCCTGTAGATACAAATGTGGATAATCTTAATTGGAGAGTTTTTTATTTTTGATAATATCAATAAGTAGTGACAATTGAATAAATTATAGTTATAGGCAAATTGTGGAAATTGTAATTTCCACTAAACAAGACTTCAAAAATTTTTGTTTTGTTCGTTGTGAAATTAATTGAGAGTTTCATGAACTCTATGTATTCTGAGATAATGAATAACGTTCTTACCGTGAGGATAGGCAATAGTTGAGGCTATCGTTTTCGAAAATGAACCTGCCGCCATAAATTCGATAAAATCACGGAACGTCTTTCTATCGTCTGTCTGAGAAGCCCGCGACCTATGTGTAGCTAGCCATGCCTTCACAGCTTCGTATATCACAAAGTGTATCACAGTCTCACTTATGCCTACATAGGATGCCACGATACCTTTGTAGAATCCCAGGATACCCTAGAAAAAACAACAAAAATATATATAAACACCATGATATCTTAATCTACTATATTTTTAATTTTTAGTTTTCATATTACATATTACATTTAATGTATTTGCAGGATTTGTAAACTTTAAATTTTAAAATTGTGAAATGAGCAAATCAATGTAATAAATTCGCTATATTCTAATTTCATAATATTAAAAGAATCAAAAGAAAAAAATAAAGAAAAATAAAATAATTAAAATTTATTATAAATATTTAATTAATTGAACAATAAAATTATGTAAATTAAATTGTTTAATGTAAGTTAATTTAAATGTAAGTTTTTTTTAATAAATTCATTAATATTAATGTAAAATAATTACATATATATGTAATTGCAAGCATAATACATATGTATACATATGTATATAGTGCAAATATTTCATAATTATACAATAATCATGATCATCAATAATAAAGTTACACATAACTTTCATACATAAAAATTAAGTATTTGAATAATGAAATAATAGAGATAAAATGAAGAATGATATAATGATATAATGATATAATCTCTTATCAATGATATATTCAAACTTGGATTTAGTGGTCCAAAAGAGAGAACACGTGATATCTGCGTGCTTGATTAAAGATAGCATCAAGTCGGGTATATTCGTACCTATGATAAGAAAGTTAAAAACATTTAAGATGCTATTCACAATTCAAAAATTCAGAAATGTGTACTGCTGATCGATATTGAGACAGATATTTTGATATCAAAAGTATTTTGATAATGATAGAAAGCCTCATCAATAACCAAGAGATAATTATCATATTATCAATTCAGAATCGCATATCATAAAATGCGAGTACTCATTATTTCATTATAATTTATTAATTTTTATTTACATTTTCAACATTATTTTTTAATTTATTATAATAATATTGTAAAAAAATATAATATTCACATACATATTTCTCTTCTACATTTAAACTTTTTGTTATAACATTATTCTCTAAATATTATTTATATTAATGATGTGAGTTTTATGTTAATTCTCACTATCATTTATTATTTCATTTATTATTTTTTTATAATCGCATCACAATTGTAACAAAATTCATATAAAACTCTATTACTTATATATTTATGATTGATATTAGCAGAATTTCATGTAACGATCCATGACATGATGAAATAAAATATGGGATGTACACATCTGTTTATTACACGAACGTTGCTCAAGACAGTGTGGAATTTTCCAAGATATTTTTACTTGGATATTCTATTCGTAGGTGTATTATTCATGGTGCCAGTTTTGAAGTTGGCTCGATTCCAATGTGTCGAACGCAATTTTAGTACGTATATGCATGTAAATTGTGCACTCACTTCTCCAAGTAATCAAATTCAATTTAACACATGTCCATGAAATCAAACGACAAGTAACAATTGTTCATTCAAAGCAAATTTTGTCAATAAAAGTTGTTGCATTGTTCTTTTTTAGGAAAAATAATTTCAATATGTTATTACATATTATCATTTTATTTTTATCATTATATTACTATATTATTAATGTATATTAATATATACATTAAATATAAACAATTATCTTCATACAGTTTAAAATTAATTAAATGCAATTCTTATCTTACAATTAAGGAAGGGGGAGAGGAGAGAGAGAGAGAGAGAGAGAGAGAGAGAGAGAGAAGT